TTTTTTTTTTTTTTTTTTTTTAAGAGCTGGGGTTTCACAGTGTTGCCTGGACTGGTCTTGAACTCTTAGACTTGAGGCGTTCTGCCGCCTTGGCCTCCCAGAGTGCTGAAATTACAGGTGTGAGCCACTGCACTTGGCCTGTTATACTTTTTTTTATTTTTTATTTTTTTATTGTTATTTTTGAGACAGAGTCTCACTCTCTCAGGCTGGAGTGCAATGGGGTGATCTTATACTAAATACTCTACTTATACTTTAGTATAAGTATACTTATAGTATAGACAGAGTCTCACTCTCTCAGGCTGGAGTGCAATGGGGTGATCTTAGCTCATTGCAGCATCTGACTCCTGGGTTCAAGCAATTATTGTGCCTCAGCCTCCCAAGTAGTTGGGACTACTTGGGAGTGGCACATACCACCATGCCTGGCTAATGTGTATTTTTAGTAGAGACATGGTTTCACCGTGTTGGCCAGGCTGGTCTCAAACTCCTGGCCTCAGGTGATCCATCCACCTCAGCTTCCCAAAGTGCTGGGATTACAGGCATGAGCCACTGTGCCTCGCCCTGTTATGCTTTTTTAATGGTCTCGTTCTAACTGTTCATTTATTTAAGAGAAGTCTTTCACCTAAAAGGATTTCAAAGAAATTCTGAACAGGTTTCAGGCATGCTGATTATTCTTCTCTTTGCAACATATCAAAAAGTATACATTCAGACTTAGAAATTATGGATTTCAGACCCCTGTTGGTTTCAGAGAAGAATATGCAGAGGGTATAAGTGTACATGTGTGTGCATATATGTCTAGGCATGTATTTACTGTGGTGTTACTAACTGTAGACACGGTGGTATCTCAGCAATAAAAAGGAGAGAAGCCAGGTGTGGTAGCATGAACCTCTAGTCCCAGCTACTTGGGAGGCTAAAGTGAGAGGATGACTTGAGCCTAGGAGTTCAAGGCCAGTCTGGCCAATATAGGAGGACACTATCTCTTAAAAAAAAATAAAATAGGGGGCCGGGCGCGGTGGCTCAAGCCTGTAATCCCAGCACTTTGGGAGGCCGAGGCGGGTGGATCACGAGGTCAAGAGATCGAGACCATCCTGGTCAACATGGTGAAACCCCGTCTCTACTAAAAATACAAACAATTAGCTGGGCATGGTGGCGCGTGCCTGTAATCCCAGCTACTCAGGAGGCTGAGGCAGGAGAATTGCCTGAGCCCAGGAGGCGGAGGTTGCGGTGAGCCGAGATCGCGCCATTGCACTCCAGCCTGGGTAACAAGAGCGAGACTCCGTCTCAAAATAAATAAATAAATAAAATAAAATAAAGGGAAAGGGAAAAAAAAGGGGGACTCGAGAAGCAGTCTTGAGGAATTAAGATGTCTAAAGCAGCAATCCCCAGCCTTTTTGGCATCAGGGAATGGTTTCATGGAAAACGGTTTTTCCATGGATGGTGGGGGACAGGGATGGTTTTGAGATGAAACTGTTCCACCTCAGATTATCAGGCATTGGTTAGATTCCCATAAGGAGCACACAGCCTAGATCCTTCACATGAGCAGTTCACTATAGGGATCGTGCTCCTGTGAGAATCTAATGCCGCTGGTGATCTCAAAGCAGGCAGAGCTCAGGCAATAAAGATGCTCAACTCCTGTTGTGTGGCCTGGTTCCTAACTGGTCCATGGCCCAGGGGTTGGGGACCCCTGATCTAAAGTAAAACTTACTGTCTGCATGTCTGGGGTTAGCTTTCATGTAATGCTGAAGAAGCATACCCAGTTGTTCCTATGAGAAGCTTCACTGCCAGTTACAAAGACCTCTGGTATAAATCAGATTCAAGATACAGTCCTGCCTGGTTTAAATTCTCTTTTGCTTAAAACACACAATTTGAGCTAGAGAGTATTGTAGAACTCAGTTGTTGATGTTGCTATCAAATCTTTTGTTTTATGATATCCTTTCATTAAACATGCACAATATTTATTTCTGGTAGCATCAAAGTGTTGTGTGAATGCACTGTTGTAAATGTCGAATATGTGATCATGGTGTCTTTTTACAGTTAGCAGATTTCTCTAAAATGGCTGTTCTCAATTATTTCTACAAGCTGAATAGATTAATTTTATGACATGAACAGAGATTCTCCCTTCTGTTTCATCTTAAGTGACAAACATGTTTTTTAGCATTTATGAGTAGTTATTGATTCATTCATTTATTCATTCAGCAAATAGTCATTGAGAGCCTACTATGCCCAAGGAGAGGAAAAACCCATGATCCCTGAGACTCTAAAATTGTGTTAGTGATTCACTGACCTGCAGAAGTTTGTGGGAGTGACTTTTTGGATCTCTGTATTCTACCTCAGAGTGTTTAAGATATCTAATTATAGCTGTATGTGGAAAGCATTACTAAATGTGAAAATAATTCTAATACACAAATTTTTGTGGCTTTTCATTCTAGAATTATAAGAGACCATGGATTGATCAACCTTAGAAAGTTTCAGTGTAAGTATTAGCAGTTTTCTTTATCTTACAATTTTTCCAATATTATTGAATACTTTTAAATGAATCATGTATTGTAGTTCTGAATCCAAGTTGCATATTAGTCTCATCTATGAAGATATCTAAAATTCTGATGCATGGCTGTCACCCCGATTAATCAAGTAAGAATCTCTTGCCGGGCGCAGTGGCTCAAGCCTGTAATCCCAGCACTTTGGGAGGCCGAGGCGGGTGGATCACGAGGTCAAGAGATCGAGACCATCCTGGTCAACATGGTGAAACCCTGTCTCTACTAAAAATGCAAAAAATTAGCTAGGCATGGTGGCGCGTGCCTGTAATCCCAGCTACTCAGGAAGCTGAGGAGGGAGAATTGCCTGAACCCAGGAGGCGGAGGTTGCGGTGAGCCGAGATCGCGCCATTGCACTCCAGCCTGGGTAACAAGAGCAAAACTCCGTCTCAAAAAAAAAAAAAAAAAAAAAAAAAAAAAGAATCTCTGGGTTTGGAGGTACAGCATCTGCATTTGTAAAGGTCTTCAGGGCAATTCTGATCCATAGTGAAAGTTTAATTAAAAATTAAAGTATTAATTTGGGGCCAGACATAGTGGCTCACACCTGTAATCCCAGATCTTGGGGAGGCTGAGGTGGGTGGATCATGAGATCAGGAGATCTAGACCATCCTGGCTAACACAGTGAAACCTCATCTCTACTAAAAGTACAAAAAAAAAATTAGCTAGGAGTGGTGGCACATGCCTGTAATCCCAGTTACTCGGGAGGCTGAGGCAGGAGAATCACTTGAGGCAGGAGAATCACTTGAACACAGGAGGTGGAGGTTGCAGTTAGCCTAGATTCGTACCACTGTAGTCCAGCCTGGGCAACAGAGACTCCCTCTCAATAAATAAATAAACAAATAATAAATAAATAAAATAAAAGTATTAATCTGTAGTCAACAAAACGTGTATTAAAATTCTTTTTGTATAGTAATTACAGTGTGACTATTAATGAATCATTTTCTGGAGTCAAGTTTTGCAACTGTGTGTTAAGCATAACATAACTTTAATCTTCAGATTTTAAAAATATTTTAGATGGGCCGGACGCAATGGCTCAAGCCTGTAATCCCAGCACTTTGGGAGGCCGAGGCGGGTGGATCACGAGGTCGAGAGATCGAGACCATCCTGGTCAACATGGTGAAACCCCATCTCTACTAAAAATACAAAACATTAGCTGGGCATGGTGGTGCGTGCCTGTAGTCCCAGCTACTCGGGAGGCTGAGGCAGGAGAATTGCCTGAACCCAGGAGGCGGAGGTTGCAGTGAGCCGAGATCGCACCATTGCACTCCAGCCTGGGTAACAAGAGTGAAACTCCATCTCAAAAAAAAAAAAAAAAAAAAAAAAAAAAATTTAGATAAGGCAGGTGTGGTGGCTCACACTTGTAATCCTAGCACTTTGGGAGGTTGAGGTGGGTGGATCTCCTGAGGTGAGGAGTTCGACACCAGCCTGGCCAACATGGTGAAACTCCTGTCTTTACTAAAAATACAAAAATTAGCCAGGCATGGTAGCATGTGCCTGTAATTGCAGCTACATGTGAGGCAGAGACAGGAGAATCACTTGAACCTGGGAGGCAGAGGTTGCAGTGAGCCAAGATCGTGCCACTGCACTCCAGTCCAGGTGACAGAGCTTGACTCCCGTCTCAAAAAAAAAAAAAAAAAAATTAGACAAAAATTAACAAAGTGATACCTTTATTTTGCATGGTTGTAGACAGACAAAATAAATGACATTTAATATTATGTGATGGTGATAAAAATAAGTACAGTCATTTTTAAAATAAATGCCACCTTGATCTTACTGTGTTGTTGTTTGTTTTTTAAGAGACAGCGTCTTGCTCTGTTGCTCAGGATGGAGTGCAGTGGTGTAATGGTATCTTGCTGCAGCCTTAAACTCCTGGGCTCAGGTGATCTTCCCACCTCAGCCTCCTTATTACAGGCTCGAGCTACCTCACCTGGCCCTTCTTATTTTAAATATCAGAGATACCTAAACAGGGCAGAAAAGTCCCGGTAGTTTTTCTTCTTCCACAATGTAGAGTCTGTTTCACAAATAAGAGGGATGATATCATAATAACAATCACAATGTTTGTATGAAAATATTTATAGTAGTTGTGTGTCATAATATTCTTTTTTTATAAAAGTGCCTAATGGTTGTAAAACATATCCCAGTTGATAGATTTTTATAGGGTTATTTATTTAATAATCCATAGCATTATGGGATTCAGTTAGCAAGGTTAAGTATCTTTTCAATATAAATAAATATCCAGCCAGGCATGGTGGCTTGTGCCTGTAATCCCAGCTACTTGGGAGGCTGAGGCAGTGGATCACTAGAGCCCAGGAGTTCAAGGCTGCAGTGAGCTATAATCATGCCACTGCACTCTAGCCTGTACAATAGAGCGAGACCCATTTCTGAAAACCTATAGTATTTAAAAAATATATAGCCATAGTCATAAGTATGTTACATTTTATGTCCTTTATTATTTATTTTTTGAGACAGGGCCTCACTCTATTTGCCCAGGGTGGAGTACAGTGGCTCAGCTCCCTGCAGTCTCCACCTCCTAGGCTCATGTGATTCTCCCATCTCATCCCCCTGAGTAGCTGGAAATACAGGCGTGTGCCACCATGCCCAGCTAATTTTTTGTGTTTTTATAAGAGATGGGGTTTCGCTATGTTGTCCAGGCTGGTTTTGAACTCCTTGGACTCAAGTAATCTGCCCACCGTGGCCTCCCAGAGTGCTGGGATCATGGGTGTGAGCAACCATGCCCGGCCTTATTTCCTTTATGTTTTCACTTTATGTTACACATTTTTTCAAGTTACTGTAATGTTTTGAGGATATCAGTTTTAACAGAGTACGTGATATATACTTTTAATAGTTAAATATGTTGTATATATACATATAAGATAATTATATGCATAACTTCTCTCTTTAGGTATTTAGCTTTCAGTTCTTTTAATCATTACATAAATAATGCTGTGATGAACTTGTGAATAAAGCTTTGTCATTATTTACGATTTTTAAAATAGATTTTTAGAAGTGGGATTAATACGGCTGGGCGCGGTGGCTCAAGCCTGTAATCCCAGCACTTTGGGAGGCCGAGGCTGGTGGATCATGAGGTCAAGAGATCGAGACCATCCTGGTCAACATGGTGAAACCCCGTCTCTACTAGGAATACAAAAAAATTAGCTTGGCATGGTGGCGCACGCCTGTAGTCCCAGCTACTAGGGAGGCGGAGGCAGGAGAATTGCTTGAACCCAGGAGGCGGAGGTTGCGGTGAGCCGAGATCACGCCATTGCACTCCAGCCTGGGTAACAAGAGCGAAACTCTGTCTCAAAAAAAAAAAAAAAAAAAGTGGGATTAATACATCTAAAACTGTGACCATTAAAAATTATTGATGCCTGCTGCCAAATTGCTTTCCAAAAGATGGTTGTATGAACATCTGTTTCTTCTAGCAGTGTATGAGATTTCCTGTTGAACCCTGTCCTTATCATGACCTGTGTATTTGCAAAAATAACTCAGGATCAGATTTAATTGGTCGTGTTCTAGTAGACACAGCAGTAAGTTCTCTATCTGAATTCTCTAGTTTAACATAATAGTTCAGCTTATTTTTGACCTTTACTCCTCAAAGACATTGACTGTTACATAAATTCTACTTTAAACTGATAGAGGTCAGTTTGACTTCATTATTCTATTAACTATATTTTTTCAAATATAGGGCTGAGGGGAAGCTCTGTTGCTTCTGAGAGTGTAGAAGTAGAGTGTGCAATGTGGTTTCACAGATACTCAGTTGCCATTATACAGAATATACAAGTGACCTTAATATGATAGGCAGGGTTTTTTGTTTGTTTGTTTTTGTTTTTGTTTTTTTCTTTAAAAAATTTACTTCGTATTCTTCTGTGTTGTTGTTTGTTGTTGTTGGTTTGTTTTTTTAAAATGATCTATGGCTGCTCCTTAAATCAGGTTCTCGAATTTTTGGATAAGAATGTCTCTTGCAAGAGAGGAGATTCACCTAAAAAGAGGACTTAATTTAAATAGCTGTCATAGGCCAGGCATGGTGGCTCACACCTATAATCCCAGCACTTTGGGAGGCCGAGGCAGGAGGAATGATTGACCCTAGGAGTTCAAGACCAGCCTAGGCAACATAGGGAGACCCCCATCTCTGTTTAAAAAAAAAATAAGGCCAACCATGGTGGCATGTGCCTGTGGCCCCAGGTATCTGGGAGGCTAAGGTGAGAGAGTCTCTTGCGTCTGGAAGCTTGAGGCTACAGTGAACTGTGATTGTGCCACTGCACTCCAGCCTGGGCAACAGAGCAAGACCCTGTCTCAAATAAAAAATAAAAAAGTAAGCTAGGGAAAAAAAAATAGCCGACATAAACGAAAGCCTGTATCTTTAGTCTAAGAGTAGACAAAACTAACCTAATTACCGATTATCAGATTGAAGTGACCCAAGTAGCAGTTGTAGAGTTCCTGACTGCCTCAGTCTACCAGTTATTGTCAATTTTACTCTCCATCTTCTCTGCAGATATGTCTTTTGATTAGCTGTTTGGTCAGTAATGATCCCCAGAGTTGTAGCCCTGGCATCCCTGCAAGATATTTGCATGACAGTTGTCAAATGTAACTTCATTAGGACTAAATTAAGTTACAGTAGTTAATTTAGTTTGGAGAAGGCAAAATAACCGATATGAAGAATGAAAAAATACGTATCTTGCTTGAGGATGTGTAGGTGGGACATGCAAGAAATCACACTTTTTCCGGCAGTGGCAAATCTTCTGGATGGATTATTGTGTCTGTAATTTCCTTATTTTCCTGTGGGAGTTAATACCATAAATTTTGGCCATAATTGTTCCTAAGCATGTAAGCTCTGCCTTTAATTTTCTTGTCCATTACTCCCAGCACTTCCTGCCCCTGTGCGATTTAAAAGACAGTGAGGTGGCCAGGCACGTTGGCTCACACCTATAATCCCAGCACTTTGGGAGGCCAAGGCGGGTGAATCACCTGAGTTCAAGAGTTTGAGACCAGCCTTGCCAACGTGGTGAAACCCTGTCTCTACTAAAAATGTAAAAATTAGCTGGGTGTGGTGGCAGGCACCTGGAAGCCCAGCTACTTGGGAGACTGAGGCAGGAGAATTGCTTCAACCCAGGAGACAGAGATTGCAGTAAGCTGAGATCATGCCACTGCATTCCAGCCTGGGCGACAGAATGAGACTTCATCTCAAAAGAAAAAAAGAAAAAAAAGTGAGGTATGGGAGATCAGTAGTGCTCAGTGGTGGAGATGATCTCCAGTGATGATAACATCCCTGTGGGATAGTTGTGATGCTGTTATCATTATGATTTTAGTGTTTTGCATTCTTGGCTTTCCTGTTTGCTTCCTGTCATGGGTAAGTTAGTCACCTTACATTTCCCATGACACATTTATGTGTTTTTTTTCTCTGTAGTAATGGAACGGCGGTATCCCAAGGAGGTCCAGGACCTTTATGAAACAATGAGGCGATTTGCAAGAATTGTGGGGCCAGTGGAACATGACAAATTCATTGAAAGCCATGCATGTAGGTGGTTTTTGAGCCTTGAGCAGTGTTTGTGTATTTATGTAAGTAGGAGAGAGAATGATGTGTTTTATGTGAAGTTCTGTAAATAAATGGATATTTCTATCTTTGTTCCCCATTATTACAATGAGACAAATTTGGGACTGTGGGAGTGGCGAAGAGAGGTTAAAAAGCCCTAATGGCTTCCCCCACCGCCCCAGATAAATAATAATTTAGTAGTTTTTTTCCCCACTTTTTGTCATGGGTATTTTCAAATATATATAAAAGTAGATGTAATCATACGATGAATTCCTGTGTATCCATCATCCAGCTTCAGTAGTTTTCAACACATGGCCAGTCTGGTTGCATCTTTATCACCCACTGTCTTTCCTCCTGCCCTCAACTGGATATTCTGAAGCAAATCCCAGACATTTTATTTTGTTGATAAATATCTTAGTACTAAAAGTAGTTTTTAAAATGAGGACAGAGATGGATAGCTTGTGGAGATAGTACTTCCATCATTGTCTTGTCTTTCTGTGGTATTTCTGTGAGAGCATTACCCAGTTACCATTTGATTTTTCACCATAAAAAATTAAAAGTTGTTAGGCCGGGCGCGGTGGCTCAAGCCTGTAATCCCAGCACTTTGGGAGGCCGAGGCGGGTGGATCACGAGGTCGAAAGATCAAGACCATCCTGGTCAACATGGTGAAACCCCGTCTCTACTAAAAATACAAAAAAACTAGCTGGGCGTGGTGGCGCGTGCCTGTAATCCCAGCTACTCAGGAGGCTGAGGCAGGAGAATTGCCTGAGCCCAGGAGGCGGAGGTTGCGGTGAGCCGAGATCGCGCCATTGCACTCCAGCCTGGGTAACAAGAGCGAAACTCCGCTCAAAAAAAAAAAAAAAAAAAAAAAAAAAAGTTGTTAAAATAAAAAACTAAATAAAGAAAAAAACAAAGAAAAATTAAAAGTTGTTATAAGGCTGGGTGTGGTGGCTCCCACCTGTAATCCCAGCACTTTGGGAGGTCGAGGTAGGAGGATCTCTTGAGCCTGGGAGTTTGAGACCAGTCTGGGCAACACAGTAAAACTCCATCTCTATAAAAATACCAAAGTTAGCTGGGCATGGTGGTACACACCTGTAGTGTCAGCTACTCTGGAGGCCGAGGTGGGAGAATCGCTTGAACCTGGGCAGCAGAGGTTGCAGTGAGCAGAGATCGCGCCATTGCATTCCAGCCTGGGCAACGAGAGAGCCTGTTTCAAAACAAAAAACAAACAAACAAAAATGTTGTTATGGCAGTAAGGCCTAAACTGTTAATATGGACTCTGGCTTATTCTGTACCTTTCATCATGACGTTTGTTCATGCGGCCCCTAAGTTTAGTTCTCAGAAGGTACTCTACCAAGGCCCTTATTCTCATCATACAATATTTCTTACGTAGCATTGCAGACATTTATCTGAGCCAGGTTGGTTGTCCTCACCAATCACCTTGTTTGGTTGGCATTCTTTGTGTGATTTTTACCAGGTGACTGATCCTTTACTTCCTGTCCCAGTTTGGGACACACCCCTGGTTTATGTGTCAATCCAAATAACTACACTCCATGAATGGAGTCCAGGCTCTTCCTTCATTCTCTTAAGCAGCCAAATTTGAATGTTTTATTGTTTAATAACCCAAAGAGTACAACCTGATCTGTGTGCTCAGAGGAGGCAGAAACCTTTGGTTTACAGAAAACACAGTGCTCTTATGTTCCAATAGGGAAGAAGCTGTAAAGAAACTTACTGGGGCTTGCACACAGAGCTTTTGTCCTTGCATCAGGGCCACATCAAGTAATAACAGAGACAGATTTCATAAAAGAACTTGGTCACGTGGGTAGAACTTTTAACAGAAGATAGAGCAGGTAAATTTGGTTGTCAAAAAAATTGTATGTATTACTTTTGTAGACAAACGAATTCAGCCATTTGACTAAGTTTTCTAGAAGACAGTTGCAGCTGCTACCTCTGGAAGACATAGAGCAGCTGGAAGACAGCTGGAGTAGGTTTTCCTCAGCTCTTGGGTAAAAGTTCTAATGAGAAGTTACCAACAATATGATTCTTCAAATGAACTTAGTCTTTTATAATAGGCAGAATTACTGAAAATGCTCAACAGCAACAGTGCTGACTGATGTTTCCTTTGTTTTCTAATTTTTTTCCTTCATTCTTTTTGGGGAAAACAGTGGAATTTGAACTCCGAAGGGAAATCAAGAGGCTCCAAGAATATAGGACAGCAGGCATTACCAATTTTTGTAGTAAGTATGCTTCAGCTACTTACCATACCTGAGGGGAAGTCTCTTCTTAACACACAGAGGAGATCTCTGAGTTATGCATTTAAAAAAAAAACAAAACAAAACCCTTTCTGGCCAGTTGTGGTGGCTCACGCCTGTAATCCCAGCACTCTGGGAGGCTGAGGTGGCGGATGACAAGGTCAGGATTTCGGGACCTGCCTGGCCAATATGGTGAGACCCCCATCTCTACTAAAAATATAAAAATTAGCTGGGCATGGTGGCAGGCACCTGTAATCTCAGCTACTCAGGAGGCTGAGACAGGAGAATCGCTTGAACCTGGGAGGCGGAGGTTGCAGTGAGCTGAGCCCCTGCCATTGCACCCCAGCCTGGCAACAGAGCGAGACTCCATCTCAAAAAACACCCAAGCTTTCTTTTTCCAGAATGTTTTAAATCTTTTCAGTAAAGTTTCATCTATTTAATCCCTATAAATATCTTTATATAGATTATCTGAGGTAGAATAAAAGTTGTGAGACAAAGGAAAGAGAGATGCTGTTTTAGATTTAGGATTCTGTTGAGGTTCCTTAAAAAAAGGGAATCTTGAGCTGGGAGCAGTGGCTCACGCCGGTAATCCAGCACTTTGGGAGGCCGAGGCAGGTGGGTCACTTAAGCCCAGGAGTTTGAGACCAGCCTGGCCATCATGGTGAAACCCCATCTCTACTAAAAATAGAAAAATTAGCCAGGTGTTGTGGTGCATACTTTTTATCCCAGCTACTAGGGAGGCTGAGACACAAGAATTGCTTGAACCCGGGAAGCAGAGGTTGTAGTGAGCTGAGATTGTGCCACGGCACTCTAGGCTGGCCAGCAAAGCAAGACTCTGTCTCAAAAGAAAAAAAAAGGGATTTTACATGTAAGGTGTGTCACCCTTTTCAAATTTAATGATATATGGTCTTACCATTTTTATAAAATAATCAAGCTTCCACTGGCTCCAAGTGTCTACATCCCAGTTTTTTGGGGTAGTGACAATAATTTTATTATTAGCAGCTAACATCTGTGAGCTGTTTACCATGTACCAGTCCTGTGCTAACCATTTCACCTGGATCATGTCATTGAATTCTCATGACAGATTTATAAAGTACCGTTACTTCCATTTAATGAAGAAATTAGAAATTAAGATATCAAGTGGTTATAGAGCTAGTTAGTGCTAGAACCAGGTCATAAGAGATAGTGTATTATAGTAGTTAAGTTCTGGGTCTAGACTTAAAAAGCTTAAGTATAAATTTTGGCTCTCCTGTTTACCAACTCCGTGATTCTATCCAAATTTCTTTTTCTTTCCTCTTTTTTTTTTTTTTTTTTTTTTTCCTAGAGACTGGGCCTTGTCAAGTTGCCCAGGCTGATCTCAAATGCCTGGCCTCAAAGCAGTCCTCCCGCTTTGGCCTCCCAGAGTGCTGGGATTACATGTGTGAGCAACTGTGCCCAGCCTCTATTCAAGTTTTACTTTTCTAAGTTTCTTAGAGTTAGTGTAAAGATTTAATTAGAGATAGTCCATATAAGCATAGCCCAGTATCTGGCTCACAATAAATCCTCAATAAATGGCAGTATCTGTTGTTTTGCTGTCATTGTTGGAGTGAGCTAGAGCATTCCTTTCGTCCTATTTGAAGTCTCTGTGATCATGGACACCTATCACTTACTACCTATAAGAAATAGTTGGCTTCGCCGGGCGCGGTGGCTCAAGCCTGTAATCCCAGCACTTTGGGAGGCTGAGGCGGGTGGATCACGAGGTCAAGAGATCAAGACCATCCTGGTCAACATGGTGAAACCCCGTCTCTACTAAAAATACAAAAAATTAGCTGGCATGGTGGCGCGTGCCTATAATCCCACCTACTCAGGAGGCTGAGACGGGAGAATTGCCTGAACCCAGGAGGCGGAGATTGCGGTGAGCCGAGATTGCGCCATTGCACTCCAGCCTGGGTAACAAGAGCGAAACTCTGTCTCAAAAAAAAAAAAAAAAAAAGTTGGCTTCTTAACAGAACCCTGTGGGTGCAAACATAGCCTTATGGATGTAAGTTCAGCCTAGTATGTTTCTTTAACAGTGGAAACCATTTTTGAAATTAAATTTTGTATGGAGCCCTAATCTACAAATGATAAAAGTAGAATTACTTTGGTTGAATTTTAATGATTCAAGTTATATGTAATGAGTCCAGAACCCACTGGTATCTGGCAATGCCCTTTCTCTTTACATTAACCTCTAAGGTACTCCAGTGGTATCCTGGGGCTCTATGGAACTTAGTTTCAATTTTGAAACCCCCACAGTGTAGTATTTTGGATCTGTGAACCTTTGTTAACATGTAGAAAACACCACGCAGCTCTTCTGTTTAGCAAGATACATATAGAGACTCTCATAACTAATTTTGGTTTCCTGATATTGGCTGCCTCTGAGAAATACGGAAGAAAGAGTACTACATGTCAAAGAGAACACTTTTTTTGTAATTCTAATTGGTTTTTAAGGAAAGGCACGAAGCACTTGTGTCACTTTGAAAAATTTTATAAAAATAGAAAAAACAGGAAGCAAATATGACTATAGTCAAAGTTGGTTACTTTTTGAGGGTGAAAATATGAGCAATTCTTGCCTTCTTTATACTTTTCTGATGGTTTTTTTCTCCCAAGTTTTTTTTTTTTTTTTTTTTTGAGACGGAGTTTCGCTCTTGTTACTGAGGCCGGAGTGCAATGGCGCGATCTCGGCTCACCGCAACCTCCGCCTCCTGGGTTCAAGGCAATTCTCCTGCCTCAGCCTCCTGAGTAGCTGGGATTACAGGCACTGCGCCACCACTGCCCAGCTAGTTTTTTGTATTTTTAGTAGAGACGGGGTTTCACCATGTTGACCAGGATGGTCTCGATCTCTCGACCTCGTGATCCACCCGCCTCGGCCTCCCAAAGTGCTGGGATGACAGGCGTGAGCCACCGCGCCCGGCCCCAAGTTTCTTATAGATAGAAAAAGAATACATATATTTAAGAAAAGGATTTCAGACTAGGAAAAATCTACTTGGGTCTTGGAGAAATAATTGTGAAAGCAGTTTTGCAAAGGAAACAAACTTTAAGAACAAAACTCGAAAACCAGTTTCTCGTTCAGTTAGGAAGCCCTGCAGTTCTGCTGCATTGTCAATAGTGGTCATTGTGTTTCCTATACCCCCAGGTGCCAGAACCTACGATCACCTCAAGAAGACGCGGGAGGAAGAGCGCCTTAAACGCACCATGCTCTCCGAAGTCCTCCAGCACATCCAAGACAGCAGTGCTTGCCGGCAGTGGCTCCGCCGGCAAGCTGACATGTAAGTGATTAGTCCAGGGCGAAGGAGGCGTTCTTTCTGGGATGCCTGGGCCTTTATATGTGTTTTGGGGCACTCTAGATGGCAGAGTAATAATAATTGAGTAGCTAGAAGAATTCAGAAGTATTTTAGCAGTCCAGCTCAGAAACAGTGCCGTACTGACAGTTTTGAGAAACGGCTGACCTCCTGGAATCATACTTTACTACTTTGGTCATATTTTTAAAAATGAGTGAATTTTCCCCCAGCCTTCTATCCATGACTTTAACTCCCTCTTCATATCTAGATTTTCACTGGAGAATCATGTTTATGTCCTTTCCCTTGAATGGTGTTATTGGTGTTCTCAATTACAAGCTCGTCTTAACACATCTGAGGAATTTTTCTCCTCAGAACAGATTTTCTTTTCTGTTCGATATAGTGAGAAGTCTGTAAAACGTAATTCAGTCTATCTCATTACATTTCCTCAAAGTGACCTGTCTGATAAATGGCACTCAGTCCCACAGGGGCTTGTGGAAATCACCTTGTTTGAATGACCTAAGTTTAAATTCCTCTTCTTCATTGTAGTGATTCCGGCCTGAGTCCTTCCCTTCCAGTGGCTTCAAATTCAGGTAATTATTTCTCTGGCCAGAACAAGTCTTAATTGTGAAGTTTGCATTGTTAGGGGCTATGGTGACCCAGCAATCCTTCCTCTGTGGTGTCAGGATGCTTAGGCAGAGTAATGGTAATCAAGTGTTAGCCCAATATATAAACATCAGTATGTTTGCAGAATCTTCATGTCCAGACAGAGACTATCCTCAGAGTGACAGCATAGGAACAGGGGAAGAAAACTTGAGAGAGGTAACTTCTTTATTTTACCAGTGTTCATGAGCAGTTAGATTACTGCAGTTGTATCTTCCACTAATTTTGAGACTTATTTCACAGGAGATAAATTAAAAGCTTTTTATTTTATTTTTATTTTTATTTATTTTTTGAGACAGTCTTGCTCTGTCACCCACGCTGGAGTGCAGTGGCATGATCTTAGCTCACTACAACCTCCGCCTCCTGGGTACAAGTTATTCTCTTGCCTCAGCCTCCTGAGTAGCTGGGATTACAGGCGTGCACCACCACGCCTGGCTAATTTTAGTATTTTTGGTAGAGACAGGGTTTCGCCATGTTGGGCAGGCTGGTCTCGAACTCCTGATCCTCAAGTGTTCTGCCCACCTGAGCCTCCCAGAGTGCTGGAATTGCAGGCATGAGCTACCGTGCCCAGACTAAGCTTTTTATTTTTATATAACATGAGCAAAGAAGCATGTGTTATCTGCTAGAAACATAAGGATTTCTAAGTTGGAGACCTAAAGTATTTCTGTTTCTTAGTGTTACCTCTTTGAGTATGTCCTATTTTGAGATTAGTATACAGAGCAAGATTAAGCCATATACTATCTGATGATCCTTGGAGATTGAAGGGAAAACAGCTTTTTAGGGGAGTAGCCAAGACAATGATATCCATGTTTTATTTTAGAAGTTTCTTATTGCCAACACTCTGCCCCCAAAATCTAAATACAACTAAGCTAATACTGGCTAATTAATATGAAGGAACTGAGGCCGGGCATGGTGGCTCAAGCCTGTAATCCCAGCACTTTGGGAGGCCGAGGCGGGTGGATCACGAGGTCAAGAGATCGAGACCATCCTGGTCAACATGGTGAAACCCCGTCTCTACTAAAAATACAAAAAATTAGCTGGGCATGGTGGCGCGTGCCTGTAATCCCAGCTACTCAGGAGGCTGAGGCAGGAGAATTGCCTGAACCCAGGAGGCGGAGGTTGTGGTGAGCAGAGATCGCACCATTGCACTCCAGCCTGGGTAACAAGAGCGAAACTCCGTCTCAAAAATAAATAAATAAATAAACAAACAAACAAATAAATAAGTAAAATAAAATAAAATGAAGGAACTGGTCCCGGTGTGGTAGCTCACACCTGTAATCCCAGCACTTTGGGAGGCTGAGGCAGGCGGACCACCTGAGGTCAGGAGTTCAAGACCAGCCTGACCAACATGGTAAATCCCCATCTCTCCTGAAAAAAATAAAAATAAAAATTAGCTGGGCATGGTGGTGCACATCTGTAATCCCAGCTACTCAGGAGGCTGAGGCATGAGAATTGCTTGAATCCAGGAGGCGGAGGCTGCAGTGAGCCAAGATCACACCATTGTACTCTAGCCTAGGTGACAGAGTAAGACTGTCTCTAAAAATTAATTTAATTAAATAAAGGAACTGGCTAACATGATCACAGGTTTTTGTTTTCTGAACCATCTGCATGGACTTGTTCATTGTTTCTTTTTTTGTGAGACAGGGTCTCCCTCTACTGTCCAGGGTGGAATGCAGGGTGTGATGATGGCTCACTGCAGCCTCGAACTCCCAGGCCTAAGTGATCCTCCCAGTTCAGTTCCTGAGTAGCTGGGACTACAGACTTGTGTCACCAAACCTGGCGAATTTTTTTTTTTTTTTTTTTTTTTTTTTTTTTTTTTTTTTTGTAGAGACAAGGTCTTACTATATTGCCCGGGTTGGTCTTGAACTCCTGGGCTCAAGTGATCCTCCTGCTTTAGCCTTCCAAGGTGCTGGGATTATAGGTGTGAGGGTCAGCACCCGGCCTCTTGTTCATTGTTTGTTCCTACACTGATGTTAGCCTTTCTCGCCCCTTATGTTTAGGCTGAGGAGATCTCTTGCCCTCCTTTATGTTAAGTTCTTAAGGTATCGATGTATTGGAAGCCTGGCATCTTTGATTATAGTCTACCCTCTGGTGACTTTTGTGAGAAACCAAATAATTTTTTCTCCCTTTTTGAAGATTTGGGATAATCGCTTATGCCTTTTGCTGATGTAACAGAGAAGCCTGTTTTCCACCAGGGCAGCTTGTAACAGTCCCTCCCCTTTCTCTGCCCCACTTGAAAAGCAACCTCCATAAAACTTCAACATTTTCTTTGCTTAACTCAGTCTGTCTATTCCCTGCTGAACACCAATCCCTAATATACATTCAAAACAAAACCAAAAAAGTTTTGCTCCTCAAGCTTTGCACCCGGCCAGTGGCCTCCTACCTGGGTTTCTTTCTCAGGTATGTGAGTTTACCTCAGCCCCTGCTTTGCCATGTAATGGCTCATTGTTCCTGTTTGTGGATCTTGCAGGTAAACAGGGCTACTTTAGAAGGAACAGATACTCCCTCACGTAATAAAAAAGAAGGGCCTTTTGCTGGCCTCACAGTCTTTGATCTGAAGGCACACAGTACTTGGTTAATTACTGTGTTTGTCTTGTACTGCTGGCAGAGTGGCAAGGATTAGGGAATGTCTCTCCTGCAGTTATTTCCATTCATCAGCTGTCAAGGCAGGCAGTGTGTGACCTTTCTTAACTGGGTGACATCTGTGCTTCAGATTTTAAGAGTCTCCTACATGGTTAGGAAGAAATAGGTGATAGCGAGCATGGTGGTACATGCCTGTCTTCCCAGGTAGTTGGGAGGCTGAGGCAAGAGGATTACTTGAGCTAGGGAGATTGAGGCTATAGTGAGCCATGATGGCAACACTGCACTCCAGCCTGGGTGACACAGTGAGACCCTGTCTCAAAAAAATAATAATAAATAAAAGATAACTACTGTGGTGAGTAGTTACATTTGATGCTAAGGTATGTGTGACTGTATGTGTATTTTAGCAGATTGTAGGTAATTCATATGCCCTGAATATGTAATTCATTTTTATTTTCAAGTGAATGTTGGGGTGCCCATGTTGCTAGCTAAAGAGTCCTGAGGGAATCAGACAGGATTTCCTAAGCTGGATACCTAGCTGGCCTGGTTACACTGAACTTTTTAATACTTTATACCTGAGAAGTTGTCACTCCTATGAAATCTGTGCTCTTTCCTTCTCTATAGGTAGACGGAGTGCACCACCCTTGAACCTCACAGGCCTCCCTGGCACAGAGAAGCTGAATGAAAAAGAAAAGGAGGTAACAAAAAGGAGGGGGCTGGGGGAAAGAGAATAGGGGTTGATTATTCATTTAGTTGTCATTAAAAATCCATGATAGGGTCAAACCCGTTTTGTTTCACTCATTTAACATATATGCACAGCTTCGATGTATCCTAGAAGTCCAAGAGCTAAAGAGCCGTTTATGGCAGATTTCCGAGAACTGCTTGTCACCCTACCACCTTTCCTCTTCTGGGGAAAGCACATGTGGTATGTAAATTACATCATAATAGCAACTATCAACTTACTGAGCACTTACCATTTGCTACTCTACTAAGTGCTTTATATAAATAAAATTGATTTTTTGGAAACCTAGAGTAAGTAACTTTTACATGAAAATAGGTATTTCCTATTAGAATGGCCACCTTGAAAAGTTCTAGACTTACTCCAATGATATAATCATAATATAAAACATTTTTGCAAATTGCTTCCAGAGCATGTTTATAAAGATAAGGAAACATCATAGTCATGTTCATTTTTATTAAAAAAAATTTTTTGACATATATATATATTTCTGAGATGGAATCTCACTCTGTCGCCCAGACTGGAGTGCAGTGGCGTGTTTCTTGGCTTACTGCAACCTCCACTTCTTGGGTTCAAGCGATTCTCCTGCCCAGCCTCCTGAGTAGCTGGGACTACAGGTGCACACCACACCCAGCTAATTTTTGTATTTTTATTAGAGACAGTGTTTCACCTCCTTAGCCAGGCTGGTCTCAAAATCCTGACTTCAGGTGATCACCTGCCTCAGCCTCCCAAAGTACTGGGATTACAGGCATGAGCCACCGCACCTGGCCTGATTTTAAAAATTATGTGACCTACTTTTTCCAATTGGAATCATCAGACTTGTCTTCCTATTGATTTTATTGTTTCTAAAATTTAAATCCAGCCTCATAAGAATCGTCATCAGGAGTTTTCAGAAAACTGTCACATCTCTGAAGTCTGTAGTACTCTTTTGGAGGAATTTCTCTTTTGCTCCTCATATGCTCCTTTTTTAATTCCCAAGGTCAGCCCTCTTTCTCCCACCCTATATCATTAGTTCAGTTCAGATAATAAGAAAGGGGCATAGTGTAGGTAACAGTGTCAGTCTTTATCCACCAGGAACAGTAAGGATTAGTTTGGGAGTAGAAGGAAAATGTATGTAGTATCTATGTATTGCTGAAGAAGGTCATAGGCCAGTCTGATTCAAACACTGAATAGCCTGGACTTTCAAGCCTTTTTTTATCCTTCTCCACATAATGATCACCTCAGGCTCCTCACAGCTGGATACTGCGGCAGTTCTCTAGATTTTCAGCAGTTAAGTCACCTCCTCTTAGCACGGTCTCTTTATGCCCTTGCCCTTTGAAGTAGATGTAATCCCCAAAGCAGGGACTGCTGCTTTATGCTGGTGCGATGCACACTTGAGAATCCACGTGTGTGTGCATCCTGCCCCCACCGTGCCCCGTGGCTCTTCCTTGACCATTGGTGCTGGGACTGTACCTGGGCATTTAGTGTTGGACTACTGAATGAGCCACGCTGCTCCTCAGGAGTACATACTTGTAATCTCCAACAAACCCAGGCCCCTGAGCCAGCTGGCGTGTGCTAAAGGCTCTCCTAGCATCACACCCTGGCCTTCTCTTCCCGGGTGTCCGTCCTTAGGGAGCGTTCTTCCCACAGAGGAAGTGACTAAATGGGATGTAGTCCAGCCACCCATCAGCTCCTATGAATAGTTGGAGGCTGATGTCACTTTAAAAAATTTTTTTGCTATACCTGCTGGATTAAATTACAAAACTGACAGATGTTAATGTTTATTAAATTTGCCATGTCTTGCAGCTCTGTCAGATGGTGAGGTTGGTCCCTGGAGCCTATTTAGAATACAAATCTGCTCTCTTGAACGAATGTAACAAGCAAGGAGGCTTAAGACTGGCACAGGCAAGAGCACTCATCAAGATAGATGTGAACAAAACCCGGAAAATCTATGATTTCCTCATCCGCGAAGGATACATCACCAAAGGCTGATGCTCTAAGGGCTTGGGATCAGAAGTCAGAAGTTTGGAATGTGGTGGGTCAAAGGACAGTGTGGGCATTCTGGAGAGTTTTGTTTTTCAGCTGAATTCTCATTTTGCAAAGAGGGAAAAGGACAAAGGAAACCTTAAGTTGTGTAAATTCTGCTTTCTTCTCCATCCTGCTTTAAAACACTCCTGTTGCTGGTATTGTGCTGCAGAGTTGTGTGCTAGATAAGCTATTATTAAATGTGAGTGGGCATTCATTCCTAACACCTCTTGTAACTAAAAGAACCATAGTACCTCACATCACAGTGCTGGTAGAAATAGAACTAAACCACAGTCTTTAGTCCTGAGTCCGGCCCAGATCCTTATATTGAGAGGTAAGTTTGCTGATGATCTGCTTTGCCTTCAAACACTGCAGACAGATTTAAATTGAAGAGAAAGGTTTTACAGCATAAGAAAGCTCTCTTGTAAGGGTTTTTAAGTTGACAACATTTTTTTTGAGATGGAGTTTCACTCCTGACGCCAAGGCTGGAGTGCAGTGGCGCGATCTCGGCTCACTGCAACCTCCGCTTCCCAGGTTCAGGCAATTCTCCTGCCTCAGCCTCCCAAGTAGCTGGGGCTACAGGCACCCCGCCACCATGCCTGGCTAATTTTTGTATTTTTAATAGAGATGGGATTTTGCCATATTGGCCAGTCTGGTCTCTAACTCCTGATCTCAGATGATCTGCCCACCTGGGCCTCCCAAAGTACTAGGATTACAGGCGTGAGCCACCGTGCTCGGCCTAAGCTTACAACTTTTATGAGTAAAGGGGAAGAAAATATTCTTATGATGGTCTTGTCCCAGACTGCATCTTTAACTCCAGCTGAGCTTCTGTAATCCCAGCACGTTGGGATGCTGAGGTGGGTGGATCATGAGGTCAGGAGTTCAAGACCAGCCTGACCAACATGGTGAAACCCGTCTACTAAAAATACAAAAATTAGCTGGGCGTGTTGGCACACCCCTGTAGTCCCAGCTACTCAGGAGACTGAGGTGGGAGAATCACTTGAACCTGGGAGGCGGAGGTTACAGTGAGCCGAGATTAACGGCACTGTACTCCAGCCTCAGCAACAGAGCGAGACTCCATCTCAAAAAAAAAAAAAAGAAAACCACAAAATTTTAATGTCTGGCTCTGTACTTTGCAGTCTGCCTGTCTAATCTGCAGTAGACTTTTGAGGAGGTGGCACTGGATATAACATGTCTCTGTTATTTTTAGAATTAATTGATTAAAATGTTTTGCTATTTAATTTGTGAGTGTGTCAAATATTCCGGTAACTAAAACACACTTAAGGTGTTGGATGCCCGCCCCATCACGCTGCACTGTCTGCTGACATATGTGTCCTGAACTCACCCTGTTCTTGTCCTGGGTTTCCCAGGATACCAAGTTCTTGATGATGGAGATGATGCAACAAACCTCAGCTTTGCTTGGATTGAGACTTGAACCCTAATTTCTCAATGGTGAAAGGCTAGCCTGCAATAAAAGCTGCTTTTAAAGCAGAAGTAAAGCAGCTTCATATATGGGACTCACTAGATGTGAGGGTGAGTAGCCCCACCACATCTGAAACTTGGTCCTCAAACCTTTCTGCAAAATAACAAGCCAGACGCATAGTCATGGTTATCTCATTTCTGTTAGAAACAAAGTTGTATACAGAAATAACTTGGTCAGAATCTACACAAATCACATTGAATAGTTGACTGATTGTTTAATTCCTTCTATATTCAAACATCTAATTAAAATGTTGTATGCTTTGTTGGAAGCATCTGCTCAGACTTTTGACTGTTGTAAATGCATGCAGCTGGGAAGGGACTTCATCTAGAGGATGAGAAATGAAGAAGACACTCAGGAGCTGATGGAATTCAAATAGAGGACTCTGATTTTTCTTCAAAAAAGAATGACATGTGGAAATGATCTATTTTCTTTGTATAGTCACATCTCATAGAAAACATTTTCCCACTACCATCACACTTAGTTGGTTGTGAAGGGATTGCTTCTTATTCCTGAAAGGTAATTCCTGTTCTGAACAGTTGGGATGCATTAGACATCAGTGTTAGGTAATGTTTGTTGTAGTCTGAAGAGTCTTTAACCTTGATTAAGAAAGGCTTCCTGGAAGAGGTGGGCTTTGGGGGCAATCATATGATAGAGAAGAGAGAGAGAAATGGCAGATGGAAGTGGGAGACAGTTCCACACAGGGGGTGGAGGATGATGTGGAGGCAGCAGTGGGTGTAAGGAAAATGGTGCCAAGAGATTTATTTGGCTGGAACACAAGGGGCAGCTGGGTAGTTAGGAGTGGGAGGATGGTAGGACAGTCTGACAGAAACCTTGGAACCAGTTGAACTCTGAAAAGCTGATGGAAAATCGGTAGATTTCATGAGAAAAATGACATGGTTGAAAATAGTAATAGAAAGTAAGACCGAAGTTTTAAATGACTGGATTTTAGAAAGTAGGGTCATTATTTCTTTGGTAAACCCAACTTTGCAAAGATACATAGCATTGCATCCTTCCTCTTTTCTTATAGACAGGGTTGGCCATAAACCAACGACACTGACAGAGGTCTCTCCTAGTCCAGATAGTCTCAGAAGAGAGTTTACCTTGAAACTCAATGACATGAATAAGACCTATTTACTGAAATTTTTATTGCAATTTATTGTTAAAGGTTTCTGCTGGAGTTTTATGCATATTTTTCTAAGTGGTGGGAAATAAAGAACAAATCTCTTTCCATGTGATGACCCTTCTCTGTGCTCAAAGACCAAGACTCTCTTGAGAGACCAATTACCTGTAATCCCAGCACTTTTGGAGGCGGAGGCGGAGGCAGGTGGATCACCTGAGGTCAGGAGTTCGAGACCGGTCTGACCAACAGGGAGAAACCCCATCTCTACTAAAAATACAAAAAATTAGCAGGACGTGGTGGTGCATGCCTGTAATCTCAGCTGCTTGGAAGGCTGAGACAAGAGAATCACTGGAACCTGGGAGGCAGAGGTTGTGGTGAGCTGAGATCCCAACCATTTCCACTCCAGCCCAAAAAAAAGAGAGGGACCAATTAATACTAAATATTCACAGTTTATCTTTTCCTGGTCCCGGTTTCCTTCCTTTTATTAACTGCCTTCACTTCCCCTGCTTTTAAAATCTGAACTCAGTTAAGCAACCAGTCATTGAAATCTCCCCAGCTGGGGATTAGATGGAAAAGGGAGAAGACCAATGGCATTCATCAATAACAACAAAATCCCAGTTTGTAAGTCATTCTAGCTTTAGGAAATATGTAGGTATGTAACGAGAAAAAAATCTAATGTGAAGAATCAGAGGCCAAATTACATAGTAGTTTGGGAAAACTTATATGTATGAGTTTTATTATTTCTTTGGTAAACCCAACTTTGCAAAGCTTAACACCTAGAATCCCTCCAAAAACCACTTTTTCATGCATTTTTAAGCAGACAATGGTACTGTGTTCTCAAGCGCATTCTGGGGAACTTCGCCCATTCATTTTTTTTTTTTTTTTTTTTTGAGACGGAGTTTTGCTCTTGTTACCCAGGCTGGAGTGCAATGGCGCAATCTCGGCTCACTGCAACCTCCGCCTCCTGCGTTCAGGCAATTCTCCTGCCTCAGCCTCCTGAGTAGCTGGGATTACAGGCACGCGCCACCATGCCCAGCTCATTTTTTGTATTTTTAGTAGAGACGGGGTTTCACCATGTTGACCAGGATGGTCTCGATCTCTTGACCTCGTGATCCACCCGCCTCGGCCTCCCAAAGTGCTGGGATTACAGGCTTGAGCCACCGCGCCCGGCCCACCCATTCATTTTTAAGTATATCTTTGTGGACCTTCCAAATGTACATTGCATTATTCTTGACAACACAAAGAGTTTTCTATATCTTATATGCACCTGGCTTTTTATTTGTTTGAATCTTATTTAAGGGAAAGATGCCGGGCGCGGTGGCTCAAGCCTGTAATCCCAGCACTTTGGGAGGCCGAGGCGGGTGGATCACGAGGTCGAGAGATCGAGACCAACCTGGTCAACAGGGTGAAACCCCGTCTCTACTAAAAATACAAAAAATTAGCTGGGCATGGTGGCGCGTGCCTGTAATCCCAGCTATTCAGGAGGCTGAGGCAGGAGAATTGCCTGAACCCAGGAGGCGGAGGTTGCGGTGAGCCGAGATCGCGCCATTGCACTCCAGCCTGGGTAACAAGAGCAAAACTCAGTCTCAAAAAAAAAAAAAAAAAAAAAAGGGAAAGATGTATGTCACTTGAGTAGCTTGTTATGCATTGTGTACTAGGTTCCTTTCCCTGTTGGCAGTGGGAATAAGGAAATGGAGGTAGCACAGGAAGTTACCACCAAAAGGTTCAAAACCCTGAAGACTACAAAAAATTTGTTTCATAGATGTAGCCCTGAAGGTCACTGTACTTACCCTTGTCTTTGAAAACTATTTTCACCTGGATCATCCCAAGATTTAAAAAAAAAAAAGAGAGAAAACTGTAGTTAAATTTTGCTAGCCCAGAGTTGAGCTGGATAATTGAGTCGGATGCACCTATTTTCTACTTTAGAGCAGCAGGATGGATTTCTGTAGCACCAACTTAATCATTTGGTTGAATTAACCTCCCCTTCTTAACCAAGCAACACTTTTTTCACCTTGGTCTGGTCTCCCCTGAGGCTGTGGGTGGCAAAAAGCTTCCAGGTAGTGTTTATAATAAACCTGCCTTGGTCCGGAGTTGTGTTGAACAGAATCAGCATCTTAGGAAGTATGGAAAGGAGGAGACCTCATAGTGGTTTTAAGAAAGTAGAACAGGCCAGGCGCGGTGGCGCAAGCCTGTAATCCCAGCACTTTGGGAGGCCGAGGTGGGTGGATCACGAGGTCAAGAGATCGAGACCATCCTGGTCAAGAGATCGAGACCATCCTGGTCAACATGGTGAAACCCCGTCTCTACTAAAAATACAAAAAATTAGCTGGGCATGGTGGCGCGTGCCTGTAATCTCAGCTACTCAGGAGGCTGAGGCAGGAGAATTGCCTGAACCCAGGAGGCGGAGGTTGCGGTGAGCCGAGATCGCGCCGTTGCACTCCAGCCTGGGTAACAAGAGCGAAACTCCGTCTCAAAAAAAAAAAAGAAAGTAGGACTTTCTTAATCAAAGCAAAAATGCTGAAATGCTGTCATTGAATCATCTGTATTCAGTGAACTGACAGCTAAGTGCCAACTCATGACACTTCTAATGTATCTCCTCTCCTTGGAATCTTGTATCTGCCTAGTATACTCTCTATTTCTTCTTGCTGAACAATGTATAACTATTGATTTGGATCCGTCCCTCACCCCTCACCCTTCATTATCACCCTTCACCTACGTACGGCATTCCTTTAAAACATAAAAACGTATTAAGAAGTTAAAAATTGATGGAGGCTGGACGTGGTGGTTTACACCTGTAATCCCAGC